GGGGGGGGTCAGATGACGCACCTGAACAGGGCCGATAGGACGGAGGAGAAATTAAGCGTGATCGTGTTTGTGGCTGTGCGTACGTGCGTACGCGCGTTCGTGTGTCTGTGTGTGTGTTTGAATGGAGCTGCTAATGAGAGAAAGGGGTTGACTGAACGAGTGTGTGTGTGTGAGAGAGAAAGAGGGGGGGGTGCACATTACAGCGTGAATGATGTTAAACGCCTTGTTTGGGGTGTTTTTGTTGTGTGTGCGTGTTTGTGTGCTGAGGTGGGTGTGAAAACCTTTGCACGCGTCGAGGGGGATCCACGTCGGGGTGTTTGCACGGGCTGTGTAGTCTGCACTCACACAGGCCGCCGCCGTCGCCCTCCTCCCCCATTCTACTCGACTTAGCCAGCCACGCTGCTTCAACTACTCGGGGGTCCGCGAATTCGGTCCGGCGGGCTCAGCGAGGGGTCGCGACGACATTGGCGTCTGAGGCTCTATCATTGAGTGTTGCCATACCACGAATACACATCGTGCTTCTGCGTTCGCCTCGCCTGCCTGCGATCGGGCAGAAAGTGTACGACAAAACTACAGGAGCTGGGCGCCTGCGAGACTCGGGATAGGCCACACCGCACGACACGCGTGCACTGCAGGGAAAGACGTTGCCTACCTGTCGGGCGCCATGAGAGCTCGCATAGGCTGACTGAGCGTACTGGGCGTGGCAGGTTCGTAACGGCGATTGACGGGAGTGCTTTCTGGATGATCCCCACACCCATAATCGGTAATGACGTGTAAATATTGCCTAATAGGCAGGCGCAGATGCAGCGTCCCCCCTCCACGTGGGAATGTTTTTGTCTATCCAGTTGGCAAAGACTCCATAGTCTGGAGGCTCCGGGCTCCCATTTATGCGAGTGGCCCGTAGGGGGGCTCCGCGGCCGACCGTACTGCTGGGTGCGGGAGGGACGTCGGGACGCTCGCGCGCAGCCGTTTTCGACGTCCTGGATGGACCTGGACCCCATTCGCCCCGCGCGCCCGGGCCTTGCGCGTTGGGATTTGGACGATTTCGCGTGGATGTGTTTGCCTGAGTGTGTGTGTGTGTGTGTGTGTGTGTGTGCGTGTGTGTTTGTTGGTGTGTGTTTGGGGGCGGATTAGGTCCGTGGAACGAGAACGGGGGAGGAGACGCAATGGCCTGTCGTTCTGGAGAAGCGCGCCGGTCCAGCGTCCCCCAGCAGCGCGCCGCCGCCGCCGCCGCCCCCGCGTCTTCTCCTTATCGTGCGACCCCCCGTTATGCGACGTAGCATGCAGCTGCGGGCGGCCGCGGCCGCGGCGCAGAGAAAGAAAAGAAAACCTTGGAGGGGAAAGTTTGTTCTATTGCGCGTATATTTGCAAACTCCCCGCGGAGCGCGACGCAGCGGGGTCCCCCAGCTCCTCCATCCCCTACCTCCTCCCCGATGTCTTGCCACGACACTCCTTCCTGCTCGGTTCTCCCCGCTCCGCTCCTCTCCTGCCCCCTCCCACCACACCACCCTCTTTCTGGTCGACACCGATGGATACGTGTCTAATTCCCGACTCGTCCCCGCTCCGTCCCCGCTCCGCCCCCGCTCCGCCCCCCGCGCCCCCAAACGCCCCCGGCTCAGCGCCAACCCCTATCCTTCGTAGACAGCCGCCTGCTCGGTCACCAGCCGCCACCTAACCTTCTTCGGTGAGAGAAGCAAAGACGAAAGGGTTTGTTTGGTCTCCAGGCGGGTCCAGGCCACTCGCCCGACTGGTCGGTGGTTGTTTTTTCCCGCTCGACAAGGAAGACCACGACCAAAAAGCTTTGATTGACATATATATGTCAACAGAAAATAAAACGATAACGAAATAGAGTGGCCCCACAAAGTGAAGTGTACGCCAATAATCCGTTTTCAAGCCGCTCTTCTCTTCCTCCTCTCCGCTTCGCCCCCACCCCCACCCTCACCCCCCTCTCTGGGGCCGACAGGCGGGAGGGCTGCCCACGACGCGACGCCGACGCGAGGGGTTTTGCAACTCTCACTCAGTGCTGCTGACGGCGCCCACCAGTGGCCTACCAGTTGGCCTGGCCCACCGTTGCGGACAGACAATCAGCCCCCCCCCCTC